TTGATCCGTTATATTTGAACATTCAACAAAACTGTTTTTATCTATTTTTTTGTTTGTTATTCTTTTGACCTAAATCTATATTGTCTAATACACGAGGAGACCTATCTACCAGAATAGTTTAAAATATTTAAATCGGTGTTACGCGGGCGTAAAGTAGCTTTCGTTAAAATAACATTTGAGGGTGGTAGAATACGAAGGGTCGTTGGCAATGGTGCTGCTGCTATTGCTGCTGCTGCTGCTGGCGCACTGTTGAATATTTTAATTGAGTAATTAGAAAGCTACGTTTTCCTTGACTTCGTTTACGGCTACGCCAGAAGGCGGCGGCTCTCGTTCCGACTACGAATTAACTTTCACTTTTAATACTTTTACAGTTTTGACAAAAGAATGAACGAACGAACGAACGAATGAACGAACGTACCAACGTGTGTAAGCACTTACCTATGTATTACGAAAAAAGGCAGTAGGATTTGAGAAAGAAAAAAAAGAAACACTCTCTCACACACACACACGCACACACACGCACAAGGAGAAAAGTAATAAAAAAAGAAAAAAAAGAAACAAATGGGAGAGAACAAAATGTTCGTAACGCGAAATAGAAGACGACGCATTGTGTCAGGCTTTTAAAGCATCTTCATTATGCTAATGGCTACTCGTATTTTTACCCGAGATCGTACTTATATACATGCATAGATACCTACATACATGAATAAATACATACATACCGATGTGCATGAGTCAGTCCGGTGAAAACTTCGTGGAGAAAGGATTTTTCGTGTGTGTGTGTGTGTTTCTTTTTTCTCTTTCTTTTTCTTTTTTTGTTATTTTTCTTTTTTTCGTGTCCTGTCTGAAGGAGGAAAATTTTCGAATTTTATCGGACGAGATATTTCATACTTTCGAGAGGACGATGGCAAAGGTGGTGGTTCGAACGGAAAAAGAAACCGAGAGGTAGGGACTATTTCGTATCCATAGCGTAGCATTCGAAATCGATGTAAATCGGGGAAAAACGTGTCGTGGAGAGGGGGGCTAGGAGGAAGCGGGACAAGTAAAACTATCGTCGAAGACAAAGTATTGGTGATAGTGATGGTGTGGAACGAATGCGTTTTCGGTTCTCTCCGTGCCGAGAGACACCGAAATTCGATGTTAGAGGGAATCAACGAATACTACGATACTTTCAAACTATAAATATATAAAATCCTCGTCGTTTTCTTAGTCGTCGATTTGAAACTCCGAGACTATATACCCTGGCACCACCACGGTTTACCATGATCCCATAGAAAAAAGAAAAAAACAAAGTGGGAAAAAAGAGCTCGTTCAAAAACTATTTTAGAAAAGGTGGTGGCGGCGGCTTCTTATTTCCAACAGATATTTGTTTCCTTTTTCCTATCGATATCGTCGATATGGAAAACGATAAACAAATATCGTTTTTGGTCGACTGTATTCTTGTTCTTTTTCTATCTTTTAATAAAACCAAATCTAGATATTTTCTTCCCACGTTAAACGTTTAAACCAAAGCGTATATATATATATGTATATATATTTTCCTGTAGCACAGCTTTGAAATCTGTGTAATAAATTTAGAATAAAGTAAAGGGAAGAGAAAAGGAGGGGTAGAATAAAAAGGAAAAATAGAAGGAAAGACACGATCGTTGACCGCAACGTGGCCAAATTTGAAGCCGAAATCGACGATACGAGACCACCCTTTCTCTATCTATCTATCTATCTTTCTCTCTCTTTATCCTATTCAACGTTTTACCACCGAAAGGTATCGCCCTACCGTGCTTTTGGCCAAGTTCTCGAATCTTGGGGGTGCGGCTCGAAGAACTCGACGTACGTGCCGAGACTCGAAGGTACGAACTTTGGGTGCTTGCCAAGAGGCGTGGAACCTTGTTCTCTCTCTTTCTCTCTCTCCCCCTCTCTCTTTTTATTTTTCTTATTCTTTCTTTCTTCTTCTTCTTCTTTTTCTTTTTCTTTCGAACTACTACGATATTTTTTCTCGGTCACCGACCTGTCAACGAAGTATTGTTCCTGCAAAACGAAGAAGAAGATACACGCTCAAATTTATATATGCTACATTAAAGGTGGGTCATGGGGTAGTGGTGGTGGTGGTGGTGATGGTGCAACGTATGCGGTTAGAATATGTACTAAAGTGTGCAACCACCGGGAAGGAGGATGTGGAGGCAAGATGTTGCCTTGGTAATAGTTTAGTTTGAAAATAAACCGATAACGAAAGTAAATCCTATAAAGAGCCGCGCGTGTATACCCGTTTATTCACATCCCGAGATTTTAATTAGAATTTCTAGAAAAGTGATATTTGATAAGCCAAAGAGAGATATTATTAGTTTATTGTATCGAAACTCTACTTTGAAAATGCGCAATGGATTGTTTTCGTTGAGATTTACTTTTGAAATTTATTCGTTTTAAAAACTCACAAATTTGTGGTTTCACTCTATTTATATGTTAAAACAATTTTTAACGTCGCATAGTGTTGAACGTAGGTTGATAATATAACTAATAACGATCCCGAAGAAACGATTGATCCTAAAAATAATGGAACGATCGATAACTTCGTCGAAGCTTTCTTCTTCGCCCTTCTCTCCCTCCCCCTCCCCCTCTTATTCCTTTATCTATCGTCTCCACTTTCATATTTCATATCTCTAAGCGTAAATCCAATCTGCACGGAATGAAAAATGTTTCACTCGGAAATTGTATGACGTATATCTCATATCGTAAGCTTTTACACGCCTCTGCCATAAAGCTCTTTCTATTTCTCTCTCTCTCTCTATCTCTTTTATTTAGATAAATATCGTGATCATTTTCGCACGAATGGAGAAAAAAAAACGAAATGAAGAGTGAAAGCATTTGACATACCATTATAGATGAATTATTTCATTATTTACTAATTAATTATCGCGTATATCGAAAGTATTAATAAAATAATCCAAGTTATTTTTATTATATCACTCTCGCGAACCTCCAATTTTTGAGATGAAAGCATCAAATACTTTCGTAAAATTAACGATCGTCCAAACAAACTAATCAAATAATATCAATAGGAAATAAACACACGCACAAAAAGTATGATAATAATAATAATTTAATATAAATTTGTCACAACACGAGAGAATCTCAGTCAATCAATTTATTAAAAATTAATCGATTTCACGTTCATTCTTCGTCAAAGATAAACAACTTACCTACTACTTTTCGTAACGCGGTCAGAAAAAAATCATCGCACAACGATTTGATCTATTTGTAAATGCACTTTCAACAAAAATTTTCTTTCGTCGTCGTAATTCGTTCCTCGTGCGAATGTGTGCTGTCACACTACCGTTACTCGACCAATATACATACAACTCGACGTATTTATTATCGTTTTTCGTTTTCCCGACATTTGTGAAAGAAAGAAAGAAGAAAAAAAAAAAGGAACAATCGCAATCGTTCTCAATCTATCCCCCTTCCTCCCTCCCCGAACACCATCGACCGATTTTACCAGCAACTCGGAGGACCCTATCGACGCAAAAAGAGAGAAAGAGAGAGAGAAAGAGAGAGAGAGAGAGAGAGAGAGATAGTAGGAGAAATAATTTTACGTTGATTCGTTGACTCGGAGTTGTCCCGCATTGCGTTCCCGCTTGCGGCTCGTCCGTCCAATGCCTTTGAGCGTTTCTTCACAATACGCACCGATATTGCAACGATATCGTCCAACAATTTCCGACAATTTTACGTCTACCTGCTTCATACAAATTTCAATTTCTATATCCCATCGTTCACCGTCTCTCTCTTCCCTCTCTTTTTCATCCCTCACATCCTTCCCATACCACAAACTAGCACAATGGCAAATTTTATCGAGCTTATCGTTTCCCTCCCCAGCCCCACCCCGTACTCACGCAACTACATCGGACAAATCTTTCTGATTTTCTTTTGTTATAAATATTTCGTCTATCTTATTCGAATTTTTTAATAATGTGTTTAGAAATGTATGAAAAAAGAAAAAAGAACGGAAATATAAAGAAAATGATTTCTCGTTATCGGATTATTATTAAAATTATCGCGAGATACGTTATTTATCTTAATAGGGGTTAATGCTTTATTATTAGATCCTACTAACGTCATTCTTATTTTTGGCAAAAATATTTCATGTAACAGTATAGTAGGTAGAAAACACACTATCTCGTGAATACAAATTGAAGAAACACATTTGAAGATAGAGGAAAAGAGAAATGAGCAATAATAAAGGATATAAGATACGAACGAAATAGAAACAAAGAGTGGGAGAATTGAAACACCGAAGTTTACTTATTGTTAGATATTAGTTTATAAACTATGCACGGTAATTTTGAGTTTCAAAGGAGACGTTATAGGTGTAAGGGTGTGGACGGGGAGGGAATAGATGGTATAGAATCGCGGTGTTCCATAACACGACAGTTAAAATTTTATAATGCACTCTTGACAGCGATAGCACAATGTATTACCAACTATCTCTCTCTTTCGCACTAGCTACTTCCTTCTATTTCCAGTACGTTCTGTACAAATACAATTACCTTGGGGCTGCAAAGTTGGCAAAGTTTATCCTAGACTACTAGGTAGGTCTCGTTGATCCTAGCGGAGCAACAACGGAAGGATGGCAACCAACTGTGCTCATTCGTTTCAGTCTCAATACCAATCCTTTGTCCTTCGAAAGTTTACTGATACGACTACGTACACGTAGTCGTTTTAATCCCCGGGATTACATTTGCAACATTTATTTCATTTATTTTTTTTATTTTTTTTTTTCTCTAGGCTCCGTGTGTTATTTTAATCTTCTTCTTATTCTTCTTCTTATTCTTCTTCTATTTTTTTTCTTTTTAGGAATATTCAAATCAATCAACAATAATGGCCCCAGCAAAGGAGAAAATAAAAAATAAATAAAAAGGAAGAATAAATAAAATAGCCCGTGTGAGAATCATTGACCCGTTAGAAAATCGTGTTACAAACGATGTTTACCTTTTTTCTTGTTTTCGCAGGTGAGTCCGGCGGTAGCGTGAGCAGTCTGAACGTCGATCACGGAAAACCGACGAACTCGTGGGTAAGGCCGCAGTTCGATGACATTGCACCAAAAAATATCACTGCCATTGTTGGTCAAACGGCGGAACTGAATTGTTACGTCAAACATCCAGGCGATCGTGTGGTGAGTGTAATAAAACAACGATACGTACATAACATATATTCGCGTTAACACACACTCCTGTCTGTCTATGTATGTGTGTGCGCGCGTGTGTGTGAGTGTGTTTCGATATAATTTTCTTGCAAATAATTTCCGTTCCGGGGCACTTTCCCTCTCTTCTCGCGTGAGCTCGTTAGGATTTGCTAAATAGAAAAGCGATTGGTATCATTCGTAATTGCCGGTTTAAAAAATAAAAAAAAGAAAAAGAAAAAAGAGAAAAAAGAAAAAAACGATAAGAGAGTTACTTCGCAAGTGCCTCGAGCAGGAGTTTATTCTCACGAACGGTTCGTCGTTCGTTGGGCCGTGTTAAAAAGTTATCATCGAAAGAATTTGTGATAGAAAAGGTAGGTAAAGAAGCAAAGAGGAAAAAAAAAAAATAAAAAAGAAAAGCAGGGAGAGAGGATGAAGAAAAGGAATAGATTATGGATAACGATGAACGATGCTGCACGATATAATAACGCAAATTATGAGAACGCATGCGATAGAAATGGATATGGTGCTCGACTAAAAAATGCTTGTGGGAACTTTATCGATTCGAAAGTTTCGATGCCTTCGAGCAGCCAACAAAAGATAGAGGGTGCGAACTCACACACATTTTTTTTTTTTTTTTGTTAAAAAAGATTCTTCAATGGCACGTATGTGTGTGTCTGTGTGTGTGTGTGCCAACTAGTTGAAAAAGTTTGCCTACAGATTCGAGTAGTGCGACTCCTCGAATTCTATCAAGCACGAGGAGAAAACCTTTAAGGGTTTATGTATGAATAGCCTGACTGGCTGGTTGGCTGGTTGGCTGGTTGGTTGGTAGTTGGTTGGTTGGTTGGTACGTACGTAACGTACTTAACCCTATATGATTATCACGTGCGAGCGTTTAGGCGCGACTGCGACGAAATAATAATCGGATGTCAGCTTATTAAATAGTAATATTAAGGTAACTATGCTTTCTAAAATGTCTCGCCGGCAATGTCGTTCTCGGTGTTCCGCCTAATCTCGCGCTCTGTGATTACGATAATAGTGCAGGGATTTGCATTTAACGTTTTGGACGTCCCAAGCGAGAGAGCTACTCCAAATTTACTTGGTTCCTTGCTTGCTTGCTTGCTTGCTAGCTAGCTACTATTATTATTATTATTATTATTATTATTATTATTATTATTATTATTATTATTATTATTATTATTTTGTTTTGAGTAACAGGAGAAAAAGCATAAACGAAAATAATGAATAAAAGGAGAGAAACAATTGAAATAAAATTATAAAAGAGGAAAGGAAAAAATTCTTGATGAATATTTCGAATGAAATTGTTCGAATAGCGCGGAATCAATGTTGCGGAAAATTTTCAAGGGATAAATTATTTATCGTAAACCGAAATTCGGCAACGAGTGCGAAATCGTAATTGAACGGGATATATGTAGACCGTTTTCGCGATTCGTTCATTCGTTTGTTCGGTTCATTCGCATGTACCGAACATGTAACCCCGGTACTTTATAGTTAACTACATACGCACGATACACATATGGTATATAATTAAGCGTTTAATCGCTCGGTACTCGAAGATACGTACATTCAAACACGTTGGCGCTATCTCTCTCTCTCTCTCTTTTAAAACGTAATTTCACATAGATTCGCGAAACGCGATAGATTTTAATTGTGTCAAAAAGTGGAGGGGAGAAAAAGACCTTAACTGTACTTTCTCCCTTTTAAATGAAAGTCGGAATGCCGGGACTCGTCTGCTTTTATATAAATACAATCCCACAAATAATAAAAAAAATCTGTTTTCTTAAACGAAAACACCTTTCGCACCTTCTTCTTCTTCTTCTTCTTCTTCCTCTCTCTCTCTCTTTATGTATCCTTTCTTCTTTCTCTTTCCATTTCTATCTCTTTCTTCGAGTACATCAAGATTTAATCAGATTTTCTACCCTACGAGTTCTTCCACTTCTACTTTCGCCTCCTCCTACCACTTTCCCAATTATTGTAACTGCTTTGCAACTTTTGAAAAACTTGCCTCTTTATTCCTTTTGACTACAACACAAGGTTTTCTGCTTCCACCGCCTGGTTCCATCCAACACAGCAGCATTATTCCATTGCCTTTACGGTTCGCGGAATAGACGTGGTCCCCCTTTTCCCCCTCGCCCTTTGCCACGAATCCATCGTTATTCAAAATACGCGACTTTCATCGTTCGTAATAATCTGCAATTATGCATCGGACCTCTCTCTCTTTTTCTCTCTCTCTCTCTCTCTCTCTCTCTCTCTCTCTCTCTCGACGATCGTTATTTTGTTTACTCGTTAAGATATTAGAAAGTTCTTTAGGTATAATATCGTAATCATTCTCGTAAATTTATTCGTTTCTGACGTGACGTAAATCACGCTCTCGTAGAAAATACACTAACTTTCTTCGTCCTACTATTATTTTAATGAAATCTTGATATGCCTTTGGAAAGTGAATTAATAGTACTTTCCAACGGGAGAATCTTTGGGATTGAAATTTTATCCTAGTAATGCATTGACATGTTATATATATATATATAGTTCGAATACAAATTACATAGAGAAATAGGTACTATACCGTGCGAAATGATTATCGACTTCAAAAGATTTTGGATAATCGGGGACCCTTGCAAATTAGCAGCAGCAGCAGCAGCAGCAGTAGTAGTAGTTCCAATATGCATATCGACTCCGAGAGATATTCTAGTAAATTTAATGACCGTGTAACATTCACTTCCACCGCATATCCTAATGGAGTTTCACAGTGAAAAGCCGAGAGCACCGCATGTTCCTACTTCCCACACATGTTCTTTATGTAAAAGTAGATGATACCGTGGAACGCGTACCCATTATAGTCGTAAATATGAATATCTATTAAACGCTAATGTTATGGTCGAATATTGCACGGATACGAACTATAGTCATCGGATCTGTTTAATTATATTAATACACCGCGATGGATTACAATGTCCTACGATTACATACGATGGTATATATATAACAAAGTTATTACGAGATAAGAGAAGAAAATGTCTCTTCGTTATAATTTGATTCGAATAAAATAGAATGGAAATACTTTTTCCTTGATATCAAATTCATTATTATATATGGTCACTATAGTAAATTATGCTCGAAAAGATGATGAAAGATATATTCTCGTTAAATCTTCTTTCCTCTCCCCCCCCCCTATAGATTTTATTCTAGAAAATTCTCGAGAAAATTTGAAGGTAATAGTATGAGATACAAGCGATGTATATGTAATTGTAAGTACATATGTACGACGCATAAGTGAGATAATTCTGTATGTGTAGGTAGGAAGGATATGTGGGTAGATGAGTCTCGGCCACACAAGGGTTGCCCTTTAATTGCCAGATACGAGAGTCTCGACACAGAGAGAGAGAGAGACAGACAGAGAGAGAGAGAGTGAGGAAGAAGAGTGAATGTTGGTTAAAACAGGATCGTGCAAGTCTAGCAGGAGGTGGCTTCAACCTAGCTCCAATTCCAAGCTAGCTAGGTGGCTTTCAACCTGGCTTCGGCCAAATGAACCGATCAAGCATACTCGACGAAGTAACTGCAAGGGATATGGGTCTGTTCGATTCTCTATCTCCTCACTCTCTCTTTCTCATTCTCTCTAGTATCTATTGCAACATGACTACACGTATATATATGTAGAGACGTTCTAACGTATAGTCATTACACGGCAGACGCAGGCGCCCACGCGTGAAACAGAAAACCCGTTCATAGGTACGCATCAACTACACGTGAGTCCGTTAATGATCAAAGCCCTTCAAGATCTGTTCTATGAACTCTGCATTGATGCGGTACAGTTATGTATATTAAATTATCTACTAGATTTCATAAGATACAAATTTTCCTTTTTACTTATTCGAATTTGTTAGAAAAATTTAGAAATTCGCGTTATGGTCGTTCATACCATCGTGGTGTAGCTTCTCAAACAGTAAAAAGAAAATAGATAAGGAAGAATAGAGGACGACGGGTGGCCCAATCCTCTCTGTTGAAAGACGAGTAAAACAAAAAAGAAAAAAAAAAGCAAGAAAAACTAGTCGATCGATCGAACGAACGAACGAACGAACGAACGAACGACGACGTATTAATTAACGTTCCAGCTCTTCGGCATCGTTAAATGGCAAACGACACTCGGGGGCCAACTCGTCGAATCGATGACGATACCACCACCAGCACCACCAGCACCACCATCGTGGTGCTGCTTTCGAGAATATTAAAATCTCGAAAGAAAACCGACAAAGGTATGATCCAGGTCTATGAATTGCAAGTTTCAATCAACTTTTTTGTTCCCTTTCCTTCCTTCCTTCCTTCCTTTTTTTTTTATTATTTTTTGTTTGTTTGTTCCATTCCTTGAAACAAACGCGTGTTCCGTGATTAAACCGAAAGAAAAAAGGGCCATCGAGAAAAGAAAAAAAAAAAAAAAGAAAAAAGAAGAAAAAAAAAGAGGTATCTAAGAGAGATTTTTTCGTAGGGGAAAAAATTGGTCTCATTTAACACAACGATAATCATTTTTCCGCGTAAAAAAGCAATAGCTTTTCGAAGATATCCTAGAAGGATGGATATAGTTATCTTCTCTTTTAAATCTCATCGATCTTTCTATCCATTTCTATCTCTATGTATTAAACCTATCTCTGACGTTACCAAAAATATGATATTTATGCATCGCATATATCAACGAATTGCGACACATTCACCCCTGTTCTCTATACTAGCTACCTACCTACCTACCTACCTATCTACCTACCACTACCACTACCACCACCATGTAAAAAGAGAACTCGAGATAACGAATTTTATTATAACGCTCGGTCCTTCGCAAATCGTAAATCTGTGTGTGCGTCGCTAGAAATGGTTGGGTTGTGCGATGGGGAGAGGGCCGAAAAGTCGCGACGAAATTTTAAACGCGAGCACGAACAACAACTTCGTCGCGGGAAAGTAAATTTTAAAGATATTCGAAGAAA